GACATAAGGGTAAAATAGACAACATGTGTCATTAGTATATTCTCATTGTTTTGCAAACACCACCACCATCTGTCTCCAGAATTTTTTTTTTCTTCTCAAATGGAAACTTCATATCCATTACATAATAAGTGCTCATTCTTCTCTCTTCAGCTTCTGGCATAATGGATGTCAGGTGGTCTGGATACGTGAACATTCTTAAGTCCTTTAGGCGGGTAATCAGAGGGTTATTATAGGATCTATATCTGTATCACCGTTCTGCTTTCTGTCTCTATGAATTTGTATTATTGGCTTATTTCGCCCAGCATAATATCCTCAAGTTTACCCATGTTGTAGCATGTGTCAGAATTTTCTTCCTTTTTAAGGCTGCATAGCATTCCTTCCTCTGTACATACTACATTTTATTTATCCCTCATCCATCAATGGACATTTGTGTTGCTATTGTGAATGACGAAGCTATGAACATGATTGTATAAACTTAAAAAAACTTTGTGATTAAACGTACATGTTTATTGTAAAAATTCAATATATTGTCAAATAGAAAGCAACCTCGTACCCCAGTCGTCACTGTGTGTATTTTGGCCTCTATCCCTCTAGCTGTATTCTGGACTATGCATGTGAAATAAGGTTATTCTATATATACTATTTGCTGTTAAAAAAACTGTTGGAACACTAGGAAATCACTCAGTGGTTTCCCTGCTCTGAGCAGCAGTGTGGTGAGTGTCGGCGACGGGCAGGCGAAGGCTGGTCTTGCCTCAGTCCCCTGTGTGGTTGGAACGATCACCCACATTGCAGAGTAGGGGTGTAGGCTCTGAGAAGCACAAGATCGCCCAGCTCTTTCTACCCCAAACGCAGGTTCACAACTGGCCTCTCCTCTCTCTCTCCCAGGCAAATGTCTGCAGACTGCGGCTGACCGTACCTCCAGAGAGTCCCGTTGCTGAGGAAAGTGAGAAGAAGGTTGAAAGAAAAGAGCAAGTAAGGCATTTCTGAGGCAAAGCTTTGACAAGTGCTCTTTACACTCTTTTATGTTGGGCCCTTCCCCTCCCGTCATCTCTCTAGGCTACTCAGAGCCGAGTGTCAGCAGCCCTGCTGAATGGAGGGCTCTCCACCTTGCACCCCGTCTGTCCTCCAGGTGCCAGACCGCTCTGACTGCTGGCTCTGCCTGCCCCCGCCCCTGCCCTTGCTTCCTGATGAACACTGGCTCTGTGTTGGCTTTAGTGACAGGTGCTGTGGCAGGAACGTGTTTTTCCTGAGAGAGCGCAGCCCCGTAGAGTCAAAGGGCCCATTGTGAGCTGCTGGTGGGGCCTGGCCTTTCTGTGCAGCTGGAGCTGGAGCCGGTGCACGCTGCGGAGAGGCTGCCTGAGAGAAGCCCAGCAGGCTCTGGGGTGTGGGGCAAGGGCAAGGGCAAGGGCAAGGGCACTTGGCTGCAGGTCGGAGGGGCAGGCATTTCTGTGCCAGCTGCTGTGCTCAGTGCTGGGCCATGGAGATAAGTCTGACCTTGTCCTTCCCTCAGAGAAACTTGCAGTGTTTCAAGCGAGACAGACGTGTAAGTAAACAGTGATGATGGGATACTTCGTGTCAGCATCCGGAAGTGTAAGAAGGGCTCTGGGAACACGGGAAGGGGGTAACAGACTGCTTGGGGTGGGGGTGACTGGAGCAGAGGCTTAGAGGTACATGGCAGATCCTGCTCACCTCGAGGCCTGTGGTCCTGGGCAAGTCATTTTTCTCATTCACAAACAGGTATAGGGTACCTACTGTATTCCAGGCACTGTTCTAGACACTGTGAGTGTAGTAATGGACAAAGCAGTAAACAAAAAAGTCCATCATTCACAGAACTTAATATAAGTTCTATTGGGAGAATAACAAAAATTTAAAAATGAAGCACCGTTTATAGTTTAGAAGGTAATAAGTGCTGATGGAGACAAATTAAGCAAGAGAAGGGGACAGGAATACCAGGGTGTGGGTAGTAGGTTTTCTTCTGCATGCATTTTATATAAGTGTAAAATAAAACAGTAAACTATGATATAATATAGATGTTATACATGAAATCATAAGACAATACCATCTCAGAATACAAGCCGTGCTTTGGAAACAACCAGTTGTGTGGTTACCTATAAAAAAATTTACTGTAGGTCTTTGTCTCTCCTTCCCCTCTCTTACACCCTTCTTCTCCCCACCTGCTGCCAAGGACAAAGAGCCATCTGTGCTCATGCAAATGATGAATGGCCGGGAAAGGAGGTAGGGAGGAAAGAAAATGAGGTTATGACTAGAGCAAGGTGAGAGAATGTGAAGTTGCTTATCTGCTGGAAAAGAGAGGATGAGTCCCGCTGGAAGGATCCTGTAAAATAGCTGGTTCCAGGCTGGAGCAGGGAGAGTACAAGGTGAGCCTGGGACATCACCTGCTAGAAAGCAAGGGAAGCACTCAAAGGCGAATGGGGTCATAGCAAAGGACCCAGAAGCTGGTGTGAAAGGGCTCTCACTGGCAAATGTGGAACATTTGAGCACCAAATAGAATGACAGTAATGGGTTATGACACATTGAATGATAAAAAACAATCTTCATGAGTGTATCGTAATAAGTGGGGGGGGGGGAGAGAAATAGAGACAGACAGAGAGAGAGAGAGAGAGGGGGAGAGAGAGAGGAGAGATATTTCTCTGATGTTATTCTTTATAGAACATCAGCTGATACATTTAGAAAATCTGTTTTGTAACTCTTAGGTTGAGTCATCAATAGATGCAAAAACTAATAGGTGAGTGATTATTGTGGAACAGTAGTCACATGGCCTCACAGGTTGTTTGCTGATTAAAAAAGTACAGAGAGCCCTAGCCAGTTTGGCTCAGTGGATAGAGTGTCGGCCTGTGGACTGAAGGGTCCTGGGTTTGATTCCCGTCAAGAGCACGTGCCCAGGTTGTGGGCTCGATCCCCAGTAGGAGGCAGGAGGCAGCTGATCAATGATTCTCTCTCATCATTGATGTTTCTATCTCTCTCTCCCTCTGCCTCTCTGAAATCAATCAATATATGATCCAGTTTAGTAACCAATAGTGGGGTGGCCTGATGCTACGTGACTTCTGAGGTGGTCCCAGTAAAAAGTACTCAGTGTTACCTATGTAACATTCATGCCAACCTTGTTTAACTGAACCTAGTAATAAGGAGACAGAAAAAGCCAAACATGGGACTATCTGCAAAACAATTGGCCAGAATCTCTTAATAAATTCAATGTTATTTTTTAAAAAAGATGAGAATCTGTTGGAGATAAAAGAGACTTAACATCTATACTAATAAGAGGGTAATATGCAAAATGATCATGATGCCCTCACAGTCACGACCGGATATGCTAATTAGTCATGACCAGTATGCAAATTGACCATCACTCGAACACACAAGATGGCCTGCAGGGGAGGGCAGTTAGGGGCAATCGGGTCGGCAGGAGAGCAGTTAGGCGTCGATCAGGCTGGCAGGGGAGCGGTTAGGGAGTGATTAGGCTGGCAGGCAGAAGTGGTTAGGGGCAATCAGGCAGGCAGGCAGGCAGGCAGGCAGGCGAGCGGTTGGGAGCCAGCAGTCCTGGATTGTGAGAGGGATGTCCAATGGCCCGTTTAGGCAGTCAGACATCCCTGGAGGGGTCCCAGATTGGAGAAGGTGCAGACTGGGCTGAGGGACCCCCCCCCCCGCCCCCCGCCCAAGTGCACGAATTTCGTGCACCGGGCCTCTAGTCAAATATAATAGGTGAACCTTGATTAGATCCTGGATGAAAAAAACTCTATAAAAGACACATTGGGATAATTAGCTCTGAACATTCTCCAAAGAAAAGGTTTGGGGCTAAAAGCTTGTAACCAAAAGAGAACAGGGGTAGCCTGGCTTTAGCCACTAGATCCTTGTTGGTGACCAGGACTGAGTGGGGCCCTATTGTTGCTGGGAGTGTGTGTCCCCCTTCTGTCCTCTCTGACCCCTTCCTGTCTGTCCCTTTTAGAGCTGATAGATTTGTAAGAGAAATGGGCCTGGGCTATTGCCAGGGGCACATGGATAGCTTAGCATGTGGGGACTCAGAAGGACCACTTAAAAAAAAGTATATATATATCTCCCCGCTACTGGGGATTGTACCCTGACTGGGAATCCAACCATGACCTCCTCATTCATAGGTTAACGCTCAACCACTGAGCCACACTGGCTGGGCTCAGAAGAAGCACTTTTTGAAAAGGGTCCCAAACGAGTGAGTGACAGGACAGGGCCTTGGTGGCTGTTCCCTTGTGCATGGTGGAGGAGGTGGGGGACTTGCTCTGTTGGAGTGACCCGTGCTGCAGGCCTGGGGGGATGTTTGTGAAGGGTTCCCGGGGGCTGACACTGGGGCAGTGGGAAGCCCTGGAGGGCACGTCGTCACCGCTAAGGAAGAACCAGGCATTCCCAGAGAAACAGGCACTTCCCCCCCCCGTCAGGTGGGAGTTGGTAACCAAGTTGTGTACTGATTTGCCTCTTTGTCTTGAACAGTGCTTTTCAAATGTTTTAAAGCAATTGGACCCTCTTTTTTTTCCCTTCTGATCAAAATGTTATCCCGAGCCTTTATATATAATCGAGGCAAAAATGATGATGGTGAAGGCCAGAGTCCTCCCCATGTCCCTTGACCCTGCTCCCCGGCCCCCTCCTGCCTGAGAACTCCAGGAGCACAGGGCAGAAACCGCAGGCATAGATCACGTGCCATGATGCCGCTCATACTGGGTGGACCAGGTGTGCAGCCGGAGTGCCCGTCTGTGATGCAGTGGTGACTCACTGCAGAAGAACTGGGGTAGAGAGGAGGAGGTGGGGCTGGCTGTGTCCCCAGGACTGAAGTCCTTGGGTGGTGGCAGCACTTGAAGGCACTGGTGGTAAACGTGAGGCTGTTCTGGGTGATTTCGTCACCAGTCCTGGTGGGGTTCCTGGTGTGAAGTCACTGGGAGCCAGAGGCAGGTACCGGCGAGGAGGCCTGGGGGTGCCACCTCCTCTGATGTGCCTTCCATGTGGCAGCCCCTCCCTGGGACATCGTAGCCCACCTGCAAGATGCCAGGAGTTCTGGTGAGATGACTTTGGTTTTTTGGGGGGTCTGTGGTGTGCAAAGGCTGGGGACTGCAGCCTGCTGAGATGTGGAGGCAGGAAGATGTAAATGGCCCAAGTGGCTTCTGATGAAGCGAAACTTCTCGGAGGATTTCCAGGGCCCTGCTAGGGCTGCAGCCGGCTGAGCGCAGGGCTGGGCCTTATCCTTTTCCGCAGCCACGGAAGATGCTTAGTGTACTTTGAGGACCTGAGATGACATGGAGTGGCCGGCCACACGTAGATGCCACTGCCAGTGGGGCCGTTCTTCTGTCCACTGTTCCCACATCACCAGAGAGGATTCCTCGCAGCGGATGGGTGTGGCACGTGGTCCATGCTGCCTAGGTTCCCGGTGGTGTGGCTGGAGGTTCTGGGGCAGGCACCACGGAGGCAGCGGCTTTTTCTGGAGTCATGGGGCTGTGGGGTGGATGTGGGAGGCTGTCTGCTCCTTTTACTCTTTCTCTTAGAGATGATGTTAACTGCCCTGAGGCCTCAGGTGAGCTCTCAAATACTGTCTCTGCTCCTCAGTTTCTTCATCTTTCAAGCAGGCGCAATAACGTCTGGTTGTAAAGAGCAAATGAGCTCATATAGGCCAAGGGCCCACTTCATTGTCTGGCCTATAAAACCGAGTAGAGTGGCAGTGACTGGATGCCAGATTGCTTCCCTTCGACGCCCAGAATAGTGATTCTTGTTCTTGCTTTTCTCCCTCGGACCATCCTGGAGCCGGTCCCCTTCCTGGAACTGCCGGGCCTGCATCTCCCCCACCCTCTTGGGCTGTGCCTGCTGCATAGCCTTGATGTCATGATGTCCTTTTCCATAAATCTGAGTAACCCTCTGCCCATTCCACCAGGCCTGGCCCCTTCTCCCTGCACAACCTTACCTCGAGAACTCATCCTTACACAGCTCAGAGCCACCTCTGGGGGGATGCCCACCACCCCGCCAGCTCTGCTCTCCTGAGCCCTGCCCTGTGGGTGGCCTCACTGGCTCTCAGTGTTCTCGATGTGGTGGTATTTTTATGTACAGGGTACAGATATTTTAGAGTTTTGCCATTATTTTTAGCATTAAAATACGAAATCTGGATTTCATAGTTTTATATGAAAATATTTGCCCATAAAGTTGTGGGCTTCATTTAAATTTGAATGGAGTACAGGTACACCCCTTCAGAAACTGCTGACCCTGACCACAGGCTGCCAGGGCATCTCACATTCCCGTTCCCCAGTTACAGCGAGAACGGCTGTCCTGTCTTAGGTTTGTTCGGCGTATGTATTTCCCTCAGAGCCATGTGGGTGTCATCTGTTTCCAGGGGATTCTGCTGGAGTCATCCTGGAAATGGGCAGGGCATTACGGGGAATACAAAGACAGTGTGTGGGGGTTTGTGGGGGAGAGAGAGGCGGGGGAGTGGGGGAGGCTGGTGCCAGCACCCAAGTCCCTGTCCTTCACTGGAGTCTGACCCTTCCCTGTATTTCCTCCAGAGCCAAACCCCTTCTCTCTCAGAGCCTGACCCTTCTTCTCTAGGAAAATTTAGTTGTTTTGGAACCTTCTTCCCCAAATAACCTATCTGAGAAATTCAGTCGGGCGTAGGCCCTCTCAGATAAAATGGCAAATGAAGACAAAGGACAGATGAAAAAGGTCACGAGATCTCTTCTTTTAAATAAAATAACTATATTTTGTTGTAAAAAAAACACAAATGCCAAAATACCAGTATTTTGGTTTGATTCCAGTGCGGCACCCCTGTTTGGGTAGCAGGACTCGGAGCCTGCTGGCCAGTGCCTCTCAGTCCACCTGAAACCAAGTCAGTATTATCTCCTTTTTCATTTCCTGGTTGGTCTGCCCTCACTGGACAGGTTCACTTATTACCTAAACCCATGACATCTACTTCCTCCCCAGAACCCTTGCTAAGGCCCTCGCCCAGGCCTGGGGTCTCTTCCGTCATTTCTCAGTTTATCGACCTCTTCCTTGTCCTTCAGGCCTGCTTCCCCGAGAACTCCCCTGACTGCCCATGCTTTGTTGATTGTCTCAAATTACAGGTTCACAGGCTGCCCCTCACCTGGCACCTAGGCACCTGCTGCTAAGAACTCCCACATGTCTATACACGCATTCCTGCGAAATTTGTGCACAACATATACTTATGCATATCTACACACACAGAGAAATGAGGTGGTGTCTTTGTTTCTCCCTAGAGCCTAGCACCTGCCTTACTCATAGTTTGTGCTCAATGAATGGCTGTTGTTTATGATGATGCGGCTTTGTATTCGTTTCCTAGGTTAGCTGCCATAACAAAGGACCACAGACTGGGTGGCTTAAATAACAAAGATTTATTGGCTCGTGGTTTTGGAGGCCGGGAGTCTGGGATAAGGGGTCACTCAGCAGGGCCATGCTTTCTCTGAAGGCTCTAGGGATAAATCCTTCCTCGCCGCTTCCAGCTGCTGGTGGCTTTCAGCAGTCCTTGGCTTGTGGCAGCATCCCTCCAGTCTTCACATTGCGTTTCCCTGTGTATGTGTGTCTCTGCATCCCATTTTTCTCCTCTTTATAAGGACACCAATCATACAGGATTAGGCCCACTCTAATGATCTCATTTTAACTTGACCCTAGCTCCAAATAAGGCCAAATTCTGAGGTATCTGGGATTAGGCACTGATATACATTTATTTGTATATCACAATTCAACCCATAATACGTTTTTTTGTAGAATATAATCACCTTAAATTGTACTAACAACTCAGATGAATTAGCCATGGACTTTTATTTTCTTATTAAAAAATCAGTAATAGCCCTAGCTGGTTTGGCTCACTGGATAGAGCATCGGCCTGGGGACTGAAGGGTCCCAGGTTTGATTCCGGTCAAGGGCATGTACCTTGGTTGTGGGCACATCCCCAGTAGGGGGTGTGCAGGAGGCAGCTGATCGATGTTTCTCTCTCATCGATGTTTCTAACTCTCTATCCCTCTCCCTTCCTCTCTGTAAAAAATCAATAAAATATATTTTTAAAAAATCAGTAATAATTTAGGAGAGGAAATGTTGGTTATTTTGTAGGCACACAGTTTATGTTGAGAAATTGGTAAATGTGGAATATAACCTTTATAAAATTGTTCAACATTAAAATTAATATTGGTGGTAGATAATTTTGAAATTAAATGCCTATGATTTTTCAAAGAACTTCGTGAATGCACATATCCATATTTCTATCCAAATCTATATGCAGTGCATTCTTAGGTAACACACATACTCTTACACATAGAGAAGTAAGAGACAGACACAACACCAACTATTACAGCCTTACCATGTTGAATCAGGGTCTCAACCGTACAGTTGAATTTTTGAGAATGTGATCTGAACTTTGCTGATTTTGAGTCTGTGATGGTGAAGCCTTTTGCAAATTGACAAAGTAGTTTGAAGCAGATAATATTTGCAGTAGCTCTTAATATACCCGCATCGTAGGTGTCCTTTAGTGACCTGTGTTTTGAAAGAATCTGTTTCTCTCTGGACCTTTGAGGACTCTGAGTGAGGGAGAGCAGATATATGTATATGTAGGAAAAGTCGGGAGTTTTCATAGCCTAATAAAATGTTGAAAAGGAGGCAACCCTTGCCCTTGGGTTTTATAGTCCCCTTTCCTTTAGAGCCCTGGGTGAATAAGCCTGAGTTCCCGTCTTGGTGTGACTGTTTACACAACATCATGGGCTGTTGCCAGGTGAGGGAGTGTGCTGTCATGATTCAGGTGGGGGTGGGGCTAGGGCTGCCCTGCTGATAGAGTGCAGGATCTACGTGTCTCCCAGAGAGAGTGGCCCTGGGAGGATGGGAAGAGGCCCGGGTTCTAGTCCTGGCTCCCTCACCAACCTTTGAGCCAGTCAAGACATCTCTAGCGGCCTCCGTTTCCTCTTTCAGCAAATGGAAACATTCGCCTAGAACCAGTGAATATGTAGAGAGGTGCCACCAGTAAAAGTGCAAGTGCAGTGGCTGTACCTTCCATAGATCAGGCTGGGTGAGATGCCCAGCAGCGTCTCCGCGGCCCCACAGCTCTATCAGATGCTGAGGAGGGACCGGTTTGCAACTCTTTCCATATTTCTAACTTCTGAGACTCTGTGATTCTCTCCCAAGTCAAGTCGAGAGGTGAGTCAATTTGATGACTGTGATGGTAGCAGCAAAAAGACCCAAGGAAAGGGAGGTGGACAGACAGACAGAAGCATCCAGAGAAACATGTAGACTTGAGTAGGAACGCAGAGCCTCAGAAATGTAAAGACACCACTACCAATAACAGAATCTGTCAGTATCTACTAGTCTGCCTGCTGCATGCTGGTTGTTTTACATATATGTTACTCTGTGAATTCCTTAGAGCAACCTTCTGAAATTGGTGGCATTATCTCCTTTTTACTGTTCAGGACTCTGAAACTCAGTGAAGTAAATAACTTACACATAGAGGATTTGCAGTTACAACTGGCCTCTGTGACGAGGCCCTTTTGCCATGAGAATGCCAACTTGTACACTCTCTCCTATCAGGAAAAGTCTGTTTAGGATATTTAATCAGTGAAGGTTACCTAAGGTGTCTACTGAACATTGGGATCCAGAAAAGAAGTTCCTGATCACTCTCTCCCATGTCCTTCTTTCCCCTTCCCTACCTCCCCGAGTTGTGAGGCATAAGCACCTGTTGTCTGCTCAGAGCTGTAAAGTAATATCTTTAAGAAGTTACCTCCTATCAGGATACTATCATTAGAATTACACTCTCTTTGGCATTTCTGGGTGACTAGAAGTTTTTCTTTTTCTTCTCATAGGTAAGCATTCAAAGTGGTCATTTGTTTGTTTGTTTGTTTGTTTTGTTTTGTTTTTCCCCAAGCATGATTTTATTTAGGAAGGGGTCTCTGTTCAGTCTGTGAGATCATCAGAAATAAATATCTCAATAGCCAAAGGTTTCCATTTCTCTGAGGAGCCTGGGCGGCCCATCCCTTCCCTATTTCTCTGATAGGCTGTGGCTCAGCTGTCATGTTCATTTTCCT